AAAAAAAAAAGTTTTTTTTTTTGGGTTGGTTTTTTTTTTTTTTTTTTTTTTTTTTTTTTTTTTTTTTTTTTTTAGTGTTTGAGTTGAGTGGTTGATTTTTCTCTCCTTTTTTTATTTTTTGCGTGATAACTGATAACGAATGGTTGATTGTGCTTGAAAAAAGTAAATAAAATTGAGAAGAGAAAGCATAGCAGTAAGATCGATTCTTTGTAATCATGAGTCTGAGTTTGTGGTAATAAATGTAAGCTCCAATTTTCCTTTCGATTAGTTTGTGTCATTCATGATTGCTGTCTTGGCAAATATGGCCGCAATGAGCCTCTCTTTTTTTAAAAAAAAATATATATATATATTTTCACTAACTCTGTCTTTCTAAGTGAATTTTAAAAGTTCATAGATTAAAATTATGAGATTAAAATTATTTTTAATTTATGTATATTTTTTATAAGAAAAAATATTATAATAAATTATGAATCATGATTCAAATCATAGTATAAATCATCCAACTATGATTTAAAATGACCCAAATTTTTTTGTATATAAATATAACCACATGGAGTGCATGTTACTCCTAATATTATAAAAACACAAAATACTTCTTCAGGCTCTAGCTCCACCTAGGAGCCTAATCTAATTAATAAATAGAGGTATCAAAGATGTTGTCGGTATTATATATATATATATATATATTATATTGTCACATTCATTTTTTTATGAAAATATAATATCATATGCACCATAATGGCCGTCGAGACTCATGAGATAGAGGTAAACTTTAATCATTGTACAAAATAGTTCAGTTGCGTTTTGGGGAAAACGTGAAATACGGCCGAAAGGGGATATACTGCTTAAAAAGCACTCGAGCATTTTGCAGAAAGTAATGGAAATTAAGGAGGAATCATTAGTATTTCATATAAACTAAAAATCAAGAAGCAAGCTTTGGAATCATAGTGTTTTTGACGATTTGGTCGGCCGTACATGTTTGGATTGGAGCCTTAAGCATCCAAATTAATTAGATGCCAAAGAGAGTGGATGTTGGTCCCTCAAAAAAAAAAAAATTGTGGATGTTGGAGAGAAAAACGTATATAGAAAGTAGAAACGTAGTCAGCAGACGCTTTTAAGAAAACATTTAATTTTCAGCAAAAACGTCATTTCCTCAAGATCATAGGCGCCCAATTAGAAAGCAAAATAAAATTCTCCGAAACTTTATATGAGATCAGGTCGGCTAAACCCAGTCCCACTCCCACCATCCTACTAAGGACAAATAATCCCTTAGTAGGATAGTGGGAAAAGTACTAACAAATAAAATAACAAAAAAAAAGAACAAATAGAAAACTAATGAATGTGCCCTCCTTAACCCTATCTCTTTATTTTTGTGTTTTTATGTTATATTCTACCACCCTCAAATTAATACATAAATTGGAAAAATAAGACAAATATTTTAGTATAAGAAATATTATAAATGTGGGAGTTTTTCTAATAAGATCTGAAAAAATAAACTACCAATAATATTCTATTTTTCATCCGTTAGATTTGTATTAGAAACTATATGTTCTACTTACTATTTTCAATTTGATGTGATTTTAATTAGATTCAACTATCAGAAATTAACCCTATCAGTAGGTCGGCCTACCGGATAAAATCTCTATAAACTTTTATGTTTACTCACTAGAGAGATATTGTTTTATATTTTTTAAATTAAAATTCATGAATCCACATCCGAGCCTTCCTTAAAAAAAAATCATATGTCGATCTCTACATTTAGGGGGGAAAGAGAAAAATGTTTAAAACTAAATTAAGAAAATAACAGATTTCAAAACTATTTAAAGTAAATAATATTTAGCGTGTAATTATTTCATTTATGACTAGTAAAAAAAATTTTAACATAAATTTTTTTTATGATTAATACTTAATTTACTTTTTGCTAGTAATAAATAAAATATTTACATATTAAATTATCATTTATTTTAAATAGTTTTAAAATTTGTTATTTACTCAAAAAACAAAATGTCACTTAAATTGGGCCAGGAGAATAATTAGATACTCTGTTTATTTTATTAATTCGAGTTTTGTTATAATAAAAAATTATTAAAAATAATTACATCTAATTTTTTTATTATAATAAAAAATTTTTATATAAAATTATATCTTAACTCAAATTAAAAATTAAATTAGCGAACTAAACGGGAGTCCATTTCAAAATACAATACTCCTGGTTTTTGTTTGTTTGTTTGTTTTTTTTGTTTTTTTTGTTTTTTTCTGATTAAAATATGTGTGACTCGGCTTGAGGGCAAATTTGGAACCACAAAAAAGAAAGAAAACCACTGTACCCTGCGCATGGGATGGGTGAGTCAGTCACCATTGAACTTTGACCTCTACAACTTGCAAGGATCTTGATTCTTGCTTACGCCTTTCGCCGTGTAATTTTGCCAATAAATACCAAGGCTGTGACCAGAATCCCAAAGCCAAAGGAAGTTTCACAGCGGGTGAGGCACAGCCGGAGATGGGAGCAGAACCCTTGCCCGCCAGCAACAACAACAACAACAACGATAACAATGACGACGACAACCACAGCAACGGCGGCGAGGCTCCTCTGGTTCTCGGACTACAGCCGTCGGCCCTCATCGACCACGTGGCGCGCGTCTATTGGTCCTTGCTCGACCAAATCCCCGGCGAGCGCGGTGGCTCTATTCCTGTACAATTCTATCATTCATTACAAAAATCTCTCTTATTTCTTACGTAATTTGCCTCGATTTTCTCAAATTCTGTTATGGGTTCATCTTAATTTGCCGTCTCTCAAATGGGTTTCTAACACAAATCACATTAATGGGATATTTATCTTTCTAATTAGTGAACGGAATTCTGGTGCTGTTTGAGGAGTATAATTTCTCAAGAAAAAGAGGGAATTCCAATTGTGGAGTGTAATTCTGAGTGCAAATATTTTGCAGGTTGCTTTAGAAGAGCTAGAGCATTTATTGAGTGAGGTGAAGACCCATATTCTGTCATCAGCAGATGAGTCCTCACCCGTTAAAACCATGGCCGGGGGAAGTGTTGCCAACACCATTAGAGGGCTGAGTTCAGGGTTTGGAATCTCCTGTGGGATTATTGGTGCCTGTGGTGATGATCAACAAGGCCAGCTTTTTGTCACTAACATGACCTCCCGTGGTGTCAATCTCTCAAGAATGAGGATGAAGAAGGGTCCCACAGCTCAGGTCAGCTCCTTTCTAATCAATCACCACAGGCACCACTTGACTTTTGATTTCATAATAAATTCTCAAGCTCTCTACGAATACTGTCGTGTTGTGCATGTTTCTGAACATTAGATTTATTTAAAACTACACTGCGTGAAAACAAAACTATACAAAACCGACGTAAACCTGGTACAAATTTAACTATTCAAAAGAAAGTCCTGATTTTCATGTACTCCGATGAAAATTTCATATTTTTAATTGGTTAAACCTTTCTTTTTCTTTTTCTTCTTCGTGTTAAGCTTATTTCTGATGGATGTTGGTAATTGGTGGGAAACAGTGTGTTTGCCTAGTTGATGAGATGGGGAACCGCACAATGCGTCCGTGTCTCTCAAGTGCTGTGAAACTTCAGGTGTGTGCTTATTATCATTGTTTTGGATGAGGTTTCAGATTCTCTTTTGGCTAAGATGAACTTACCAGAGTTTCTTGTTCTTTTGTTATCTTCCAGGCTGATGAACTGACCAGAGAAGATTTTAAGGGTTGCAAGGTTGGACATTGACATCTTTGTTATGTTATTTTATTTGAGACTTATGTTTCTTATGAAATCAGGATATATAGCAAATGTACTTAAATGGACATATAAACACTTAAAGTTGAATCTTTTTCGTAAAATTTAGGGCCTTGTCTCTAAGAATTGTTGACAAATTTTGGTTGGTGGCTGTGTGCCTAACTTCTTTAATGTTTTGTCTTTTCTTGCAGTGGTTGTTACTGAGGTACAGTATTTTTAATTTGGAAGTGATTCAAGCGGCCATACGGATTGCCAAACAAGAGGGCCTTTTTGTGTCGTTGGATTTGGCCAGTTTTGAGGTATCCTTTTCCTTCTCTTTCATTTTAGATCGAGATGTTGCTGTGTCTTGTTCTCAGATGGAAGGAACATTTAAAATATGTGTGTATTTAAGAAAGTAGAGTTTTGATGTCCCAAATGTGAGTTTTGTCTCTACCAGTCTTTTCATGGAAAGAGAGGAGAGAAATACTAATCATCTCTAGTAGTGATCTTCACCATTGGTTTTTTCACGGCTAAGTGATTGACATGTACGGGATTGTGTGTTCTATTCAGTGGATCTTGGAGTTGATGTGTGAAATTGTGTGGTCCATGTAATGAGTAATTCAAACATCTTCTTAAATTATTTTGCACCTTTGGCTACCGTTCTGTTCACACGGTTTATATGTCATTTCTTTTTGTTATCCCATTGTCGCTCTTCCTATTATTTTCTTCTCATGAGTCGTGACGTTTTTCTTAAAACTAAATTGTTTTCAGGTCTAATATATAACCTTATATAGTCTTTAACATTGCCCAGATGGTTCGGAACTTTAGAGAACCTCTTTTACAGCTATTGGAGTCAGGGAATATAGACCTGTGCTTTGCCAATGAGGACGAAGCTACAGAGCTGTTAAGGTGAACATCAATCAGGTTATGAAGTAAAATAATTAGCGCAGCTTCGAGTGTGGAGAAACAAAAGTTTATTATCCATCTGATGCATCATTTTCATCTCCAAAAGCCGAATTCCCTTTCTGGGGGAAGGAGAATTCTAGATGAGCTAACTTTTCTTGGTGATTGCAGGGGTGAACAAACCGCCGATCCTGAGGTCGCGCTAGAGTTCCTGGCCAAGCACTGCAAGTGGGCTGTTGTGACTTTAGCTGCTAATGGGTGCATTTCGAAGCACGGGAAGGAGGTGAGTAAAAATGGCAACCCATTGTTACATTGAGGATGTGACTAGTCAACAAAAAGAAATTGTCTTTACTTCTGAAACTCTTTTGGGTTGTAATAGGTTGTTCGAGTACCAGCCATAGGGGAATCCAAAGCAGTCGACGCCACGGGAGCTGGTGACCTGTTCGCAAGCGGGTTTTTGTACGGCCTTGTGAAGGGGTTATCACTCGAGGAATGCTGCAAAGTTGGCTCATGCAGTGGCGGGTCTGTTATTCGGTCTCTTGGGGGTGAGGTGACCCCAGAGAATTGGCACTGGATGCACAAGCAGATGCAGATCAAGGGCCTTCCAGTTCCTGGCACTCGCAGCTCGTAGTTTTTTTATAATTCAATTGTTTTTGTCCATTGCTTATTATATTTATCTTTCAAAGCAAGGGGCAGCTATTGTTGCATTTTGGGGCTGACTTAACTGATGCAGAAAGTCTGCTGTTTCTCCACGGGTAGTTGGAAATTCAGAAAAAATGAAAAACTGAAAGTTGAGTCGCTAAAATCTATATAGTAGAATTTTCTTTACCTATGTGAAAGCTCGTGTATGTCTTGAGATTCCATTCATAAAGAGTTGATGACTTGATAATGTGAAAGGGAAGTTCTTGCCAAGAGTTATTCATTAAGGTACTCGTATGGTTAAAGATTGCACGGGGCCTGAGAAACTCTAGCGATCCATGGATAGATAATTTCGCTCATATTGGACGTGATTGAATCTTATATATGATTTCTTGAGTCTCATTTCCCATCATTTCAACGCGATACTTTCTCATGCAAAAGATACACAACCCTCTACAAATTTCACTCGTATTTCCAAATGACAGTTATTTCATTTTCATGACTCAATCAAGATAAGTATACAACGTAAATAGCTACACATCCCATCACTCCAAGCAATCCAGAAATCACAACACAGGAGCCATTGGTCGTTTCGTGGAATGTTTATCCATATTATATGAGGTTGGATACGGCGAAAGGATTACTTGAACTTCACCACTCCATAAGTGCCAATTTAAATTGTAAATAACGTGATTAGTGAAGAATCATCTCGACTCTCCAACGTCAGCAATCCAAAAATTTATAGAGACTGGAATTTGTCTCAACTCCCAAGTAGAACCTGCCTGGATGCTTATCTCTTAGTTAAACTCAATTACTTCTACGGTGCTTAATAATTTAAAGGCAGAAGAACAAAAAAATAGTTGCGGAATCCGCGGACAGCAGCAAATTAACAAGATTGTTTATCACCCATTTTCCACAACATTCAGCAAATGAATCTCAGAGTATAAACCACAAATTAATTGAAGTTCACTAACTGCAACCATTTTAACTTTTCGCACCGATGAGGCAAAGATAAATAACAACCCCAAAAAAGAACGAGGTCAAGAGAAGAGTAATCCGACAAGAAAATGTCATCTTTAAACGTGCCATCAGCATTCTAACAATTACATGGTAGAAAAACCTCATTGCATGTGCATCAAGAGAAACTGCTTCTAGCATCCTCAAATGTCCATCGGAGCTGCACCCTCGTCAGCTGCAGCACCCTGGTCGGCAGCCGCACCCTGGTCGGCAGCCGCACCCTCTTCCGAAGCAGCACCCTGCTCAGCCTCACCTGTAGGAGGGTCAGCAGCAGGAGGCTCTTCATCCGCCACAATCTCAAAGGCATCAATCAACTGTTGGACGGTGTCCTGATCTAATATGTGGAATGGCTCTCCAACTCCTAATACAGCAATCGTGCATATGGAGCTCCTCAGTTTTTCCCCCTGCAAAGTTTCCCTGGTTGCAATGAGTGCATCCTTAATCAGATCCTCCCTTGAAGATTCCTGGAAGCTCCCAAACCTGCGTTCCAAGTATGTCTTTGCAGCTTGTGAGCGAGACCCTATGGCAAAAGCCTGGTATTCGAAGTAGTTACCACTTGGGCAGTTGTAATAGAGGTGAGCTCCAGACTCATCCAACCCACCAACTAGCAATCCAACACCATATGGTCGTTTCCATGAGCGTTGGGTGCAGACCTGCCGCACATAAAGAGTAAGTGAGGAAGATAACAAAAGCATCTTGGAGGTATTCACGATTAAAGAATTGTAATTAAGGAGATTAAGTGACGGTGACAATAGTTACTTTCCTTTTATCATTAATTTGCTAGATAAAATATTCAGCATTTAGTATCATCCCTGAAAAGTATTGAACCTTCAAAACAAACCTAAATTAACAACGATAATCTAAGGTTGTTTAAGGATACCCCTAACGTATTCCAATGTATTTGGGAACAAGCAACCTTTGAGAACAAGCTCCAGCACCGATGAAATCACCAGTCAGAAGAAGATACCCTTTTAAAATACGTAAAATACATGAGCCAACTACTAGAAACTTACTGTTGTAAACTTAATCCATCAACACCTTTCATGAGGAGAATCAAAGCTAAATAGAAAGTTTTATACATTAGATAGACATGTATTGTCATGGGCACTTTAGGCATAATATTGCATATGAACCATCTTTTAAAGTGTGCCAAGCGGGAAAGAAGAGAACATGTACTTAAAGGACACAAGCAAATAGACTTATACAGATTAACTGTCCACCAGTACATAGTCATGCATAAAATACACAAATACCTACCTGCTACAAATAAGCATTAAGCAAGCAACAAAAACACAAAACTCTCTCCTTCAAAACAGAAAACACACACACACACACACACACACACACACACACACACAAACTCTCTTGTACTGCATATGCACGTGTAAAAAGAATACCAACCAATGTTCGACATGAAAAGATATCAGAGAAGCCAGGCTGATCAGCCATTGATTGTCGATAAAAACTAGCGAAGCAATCATCCTTCGACAAAATAATTACATCTGATAAAAAAAATCTTGGCAAGAACTAAAATAGGTGATTAGGGGACCAAGCATACCGCACTACCATTAAGCAGTGCCGATATAAATAGCGAATGCGGGGAACAGTAATAAGGAACGTAATGGATACACAGGCTTTGCAAAAACATTGTCGGATAATAGAATTCCCTATTAATGAAACGTCATCAAGCAAAGAAAATTTGAGAATTTACATCACACCTCATAGAATCGAAGAAAAAACAAAAAACATTTTCACTGCACCATCTATGGAAAATCAACTCGATTATCGAATTCCAAAAAATACACTACACAAACAAAAAACAGAGTTCATCTACCACAACCACACGCACACGCACACGCACACACAAATATATTCTTCGTTCACTTCCATAAATAACGAGTTCACAATATGCTAACAAAACTAATGCTATGGTGGGCAGGTTATGGAATAGATGCAGACCATAAGATTTTAATAAACAAGACAGCAGAGTGACAACAGAGCGCACACGAGAACCCTAACCCGAAAGCTATAAGCCCGACCTCCCCAGTTCACAAGATTAAAGCAGCATCATAAAATGCACAACTTGCAGTTATAATAATTGAATTTCCCATTTTGTCTGTTAGACGAGAAATGAAGTGAATCCTCCAGCACCAAACATATTGGTTTTCTAGGGCAAATACCTCCTTCTACAAACACCATATTTTCACCGTAACCATCCAATAAAACCCCAAAGAGAGAGTAATGCCGCCATTTCTAATGCGGACCAAAACCTAGCTCCCAATTCCCGATCTAACAATCACCTCTTATCGCTTTCAAACCAAAATAAACGAACCACAAAGGAATAACAAAAGAACTACAGAACAAAAGTAACAAAGATCGAAAGTCGAAACTTAGGGTTCCGCAAAATTGTGCACCTGAGCCTTATCGGCGAGTTGAACAACAAGTCGGCCGACGGGAAGGGCCGATTCGTAGGTGTAGTTGTAGTTGATACATTCGGATCGCATGTATCGGGAGAGAACACGGCCGTCGGCGGTGAGACCGGCAATGGCGACGCCGATGTGGTCATCAACCTTGAAGATCTTCTTCTGGTGGGAAGAGAGCTCGGAATTGGCCTTGTTGACGCAGGCCAACACAACGTGGGTCTTGGATCGGAGCCCTATCGCCGCCGAGCCTTGCTTCACGGCCTCCATGGCGTACTCCACCTGGAACAGCCTCCCCGCGGGGCTCCATGTCGTCACATCGGTGTCGTATTGGTTTCTGAACATCTTTGATACGTCGTCGTTTTCTCAGACCTCTCTGCGATTTGTGTTTGGCAAGGGGGAAAGGAAAGGAAAAGGGAAGAAATAGTGGGGGATTTTCAGGGCTTTTCTTTTCCTTCAAGCAAGGAAAGATAGATGAGGGGTTTTGGACTACAGTACTTGCTCACTCTTGGGGGAAAGGTTAAGATTACAAACATCCGGTACTATCTTACTGCTATGCTTTCTGTGCTTTGGACTGTCCGATTAGAACTTGACTTCTGGGCTAGCCCAATATAATGCTAAACTTAGGCCCAAATAATATGGGCCGTGGGTTTCCTCAAACTGAGCTCTTGGATAGGTTTTACCTGGTGGAAAAAAATCAGACAGACGGCTAAATTTTATTAGTCATGTTAAAATATAGCTATTTAGAATATGAATATCAAATAATTATTTATGTAATTATGCTATTTCTAAAATATTTTAAAAGATTTGCTATATTTCAATTCCGCTCTGATAAATTCGCCGTGTCGTGTAATTTTATATAACACAGTCTAATGCTCTAATTTTTCGTTAGCAAATTTTTGATAGTCTAACTTGACTAAGAAATATACGGTTTTTTTTTAGGATTTTTTTTGTTGCACTTCACAATATTATAAAGTTTACAAATGTTGGAACAAAAAATAGTGTCATGATAGCTCTTTATTTGGAGAGCATTTCATAATATTCTTCCTACGGGAGAGAATTTGTCCAGACGAAGCATTGGAAGTGTTTGTGAATACCGACATTGTCAAGAAGGTTTGGCAACTGGTTTCCAGGCCTTAATTCGGTGCGCTGTTGCAAATCGTATCTGGTCAGAGAGTGTGTTTTGAAGAGCTATTTCTCGCTTTAAAGTATGGAAGGATCATAATCTGTTGATCCATGAAGGCAAGGCTGGTGAGCGTCTCACGGTGTTAGAAGGGGCGGTGTCTTGGCTGATGCAATTCCAAGCTTTCCACTGTGCAGTTTCGGTGGTGATGGATAGAAGTCCCTTGCAATTGAGGTAGTGGCAGCCTCCACGGTTCTAGAAGATATTAATGTCTCGTTCACTTACTGATTTGAGTTTATAATTCGAATTTTATTACAGTAAAAATTTTTTAAAAATACTCACATTTAAATTTTTTGTTAAAATAAATTTTTTTTTATATAAAATCATATCTTAACTTAAATTATAAACTCAAATTAACGAACTAAACAAATCCTAAGTCTTTAATATTTGAGTCTGGTGGTGATCAATGTTGTTTTGTTCCGCGCGAATGCAACAAGGTAGCCGACACATTAGCACAATTTGCTCTTTTCTTAGTTTTTGAGTTTTTCTCGTTGGAGAAAAAATAAACGCCGGATTGTTGAGTTTTAATTAATGCAATCAATTTCATTTTCAAAAAAAAAAAAAAAAAAAAAGTGTCATGATATTCTTATTATTACAACATGATGTTTGAACTAATTTTGGTAAGCTATTTTATCACAAATAGTATTTAACCAATTATATTTTACCATGTCATTTATTGGGTTCAACAATTAAAGCATGAAAATTTCAATTATAAAATATTTAAATTTTTATAAATGAGTAATTGGTTAGATAACATTTGAGACATTAAAATTGAAAATAATTCGAGTCTTATATAAAAAATCATTATCGTAATGCTATGATCTCATTATGCTAAAAAGTTGATCACTATAATAATGTAATGATCGTCATGCTAGTAAACTGCATTCGTTATAAACCGTAAATATATATAGACGAGATTTCAATAGTTATGTTTTTATTAGTGATTATTATAAATATAGTAATTTGATAACATTGTGTGATAAGAATTCAGTCTCATTAATTTTTATAATTTTTTTGGTTAACTATTTAATTTATTATAGTCATTAGATCAATATCTTACGGCTCAATAATACCCATCGATGGGTAAATAATAGAGCAACCATTAAAACCACACATATATATAGTTTCCATTGATTATGTGGTTGCTATTAAATATAAAAATTTGATGACATGACATTATAAGAATTAAATTTCATTTATTGTCATAATTTTTTTTAGTCAATTATCCATTTTGTTACAACCGTCGGATTAAATATCTTACGGTTAAAATAATATAGAAATTTGATGACATGACATTATAGGAATTAAATTTCATTCATTGTCATAATTTTTTTTAGTCAACTATCCATTTTGTTACAACCGTCGAATTAAATATCTTACAATAAAAATAATGATACCCATCAATAGGTAAATAATAGAGTAGCCATTAAAACTATATATATATATATATTAGTGGCGTTTGATATTACCCCAACTAAATTTTTATTTTACATTTTTCTCTTATATTGTCCCTCCCTAAAAATTTCAATTTATAAATTTATGTGAGATGTTTAAAAACATTTCAATTGTACCTTAAAATTTTAATTTTGAGTATCTCATATTTCAAACTTAAATTGCTAATAAATCAATAATCAATGACACTTGTAGACCTTAAAAAATGAATTTAATTAGAAAATTGATTTATTTAGATTAAAAATATAAAAAAAATAGTTAATAACATAATAATTGCACTATTATTTTAGTTTAGAACTTTAGTTTTACTCCCATCCCTTCAGTAGATTCTGACTCTTTCACTGATATGTGTGTGTATATTCTTACAAATATTTTTGTAACATGCATTTAGAAAAGCTTAAAGAGAAAAGGCCATATAACTTAATAAAGAGGGAAGTCTTATCGATTCAAAAAGAGTTATTCTGTCTAATTTACTTAATACATGAATGCATGTACGTTTTATAATCTATTACATTTTGTAGTGAAATCGACCTAAAATTGGATTAGAGCAAAATCTTAAATGCCAAAGATTGACCAGCACATACGAACAGAAAACAACTCGAATTAACGAAATAAACGGACTGACGAGCAAATCAAACACTAAATACAACGCGGTTGGGTTCAATTTGAACCTACATCCACGGGAGACAAAAAGAACAATCCACTAATCAAGAAAAACCAATCTCAAGTACAAGCCTTTCTCTGTTTTTCTCCCCGGACCCAAAAGAGACTCAAAGCTCACCAAGAACATTCACTTGAATTTCTCTCACACATATGCTGTTTCTCAAGTGACAATTACAAAGGAATTCTCCTAGTTATTTTTCCCTCAGAATGATCTCTCTTTTGTAGGCTTATAGTACCGCCTTTTACAAAGAATTATTCCCTCTAACATAACTAACTCTCAAGTTTCAACCCCTTGTAACCCTTGACTAATGACAGTTAATTTTCAACCGTTTTCTACCAAATAAGGAAATGATTGTTAGAGCATGATAATTCAATCCGCTTCAACGTCAATGCCAAGGATGCTAACAACATTAGTTTTAAATGGGTTTAACTTATGCAGCGACTTATTGTATGGGTTTCTGCTAAATTCTGCATTATTTTCCTTAAGACGTGAGAATATTCATCATATGAAGAAAGTTACCCGTTTAGTTTACTGATTCGAGTTTTTAATTCGAGTTGAGATGTGACTTAATGTGAGAACTTTTTACTATAGTAAAAAAGTTAAATGTGATTGATTCTGACAGCTTTTTATTATAACAAAACTCGAATTATAAACTCGAATCGGTTAAATAAACGATACCTAAGGGTTGAAATCGATAAGGAACTTGAGTTTTCTCGCTGAGTGGTTTTGTTTTAATGAAATTCAAGTCTGCAACTTTTCCAGGTTGGTATTGCACTAAAGTTGAGAAAGTAAAGGGAAGGAGGGAAAAGAAATTGAAAAAGTGGAATCACCATTCATCAGCAAGTAGGCTTTATACTTTTGCACTTTGCTGCATTCTCCATTTTATCATTTTGATCCCTTTATTATTAAAAGAAGGTTTCCTCTCCTCGATCCTAATAACAATGTAATATTAACAACCGTTAATACTTAAAATATTATCCTAGAAGAATTGAAATAAAAAGTGTTAGGATTTTATTTGGCAATTTTTGACAACGGTTTTTTAAGAAAATTCAAAAAAAAAAAAAAAACAAGTTTGAGAAGATGATGACGTGTTAAGTAAGTTTATCTGATCAAAACATTCAAATTTCAAGATGAAGTGATGAGTTTCAGAGAAAATAAGTTGCTAAAAAGATAAAAACAATGAGTCAAAGTTTTAAATAAAATTTGATGAGATAAGCCTAGTTTAAATTGAATTAAATTAAAATTCAATTAAAAATAAGATTTGGTCTCAGCAAAATAAAAGTTTCAGGCCGTGCGTTTTTTTTTTTTTTTTATAGAAGATAATATGTAGAAGACGTGTATGAAGACAGAGCAAAGATCATCGGAGTAAAATTGTTGAGTTTGGATTTTAAATTCAAGATCAGATAATGTTGCAACAAGTCGTGAGACAGATTGTGCGACAATTTGAATTTTGAGTAAGCGTGGAGATAATTATGAATATAATTTAAATTTGATTTGGATTGTGCCAACGTGAAGATAAGGAATAGAAGTTCTATAAATAGAACTCAAGACCATTCATTCTGTGGGCTTCTTGGGTTTCACGCATAATATTTTGAGAAGTTCTCATTATCATTCTTCGGGAGAAGAAATGTAATCTTCGGGAGAAGACGTTTGCAGTGTTGAAGGGTGTTCAACGGGAGAAGAATTTGAGGCTTTCTAGGGAGACCGACCTGCCAGACGAAGAGATTTCACCGTGCAGTTTTAAATACGAGTAGTGCTCGCTAAATTAGGACATCTAGTTAATTCTACACGACGGCGACAAATTCAAAGAGGGAGTCTTTATTTGAATAAGTCTGATTGGTGTTTGTAATCGTTGAGAATTAGTGGATAATTCAATGTGTGAGCGTGGCCCTACAGATGTAAGTAGTTATCAAACCGTGATATCAATTCTCGTGTTATTGTAAACTACTCAAAATTGTTAAATTGACTCTCTAAACAAATTTTACTCTTCAACAATGAGAAATTTTTGTTTATCATTCTTCACATAGCATAACTGGGCATCATATATCAAGAAGCGTGATCCTTTAAAGTGTTTTATAAGCAATGTATATAATTCTTATGTCAGGTCTCTACTTAGATAAATAGACTATGAAAGCAATAAATATATTATTATAAAAGCAATAAATAAATAGACACTAAAAAATCTTATCGTAAAACTTATATCCACCAGAT